CTAAGAGCGTTGTTATGATCTGGCCTTAGACTAAGAATAGCTAAGAGCGTTGTTATGATCTGGCCTTAGATTAAGAATAATTTAAGAGCACTATTGGATTAATATCTGAATTGAATAAAATGTGTTGATATGAACTGAATAATACCAAAACTGTGAATGTCTGAAATGAACATTGTGTGCATGATATCAAATGATTTGATTATGAATTTAGATTCAGTTTATATGGATGTTCGACGCATTAGATATGCTTACTCAGCTTTACCGCTGAGCGTGTAGTGTGTTTTATTTGCTACACGCAGGTAAGCAGAAAGCACAATGTGATCCTGGCGGCAGATGGGGCGAGATTGTCGGGATGGATGTGACAAGTTTGAAATGATTTATGATATGTCAAAATTAAATTCGCTTCCGCAATATTGTTGAATACTCCGTACTGTATATGTTATGAAAAATTATTGGGATTAATAAAGTGTGTTTGAAAAGTTTTAAATTTTTACGATTACCAAGTTAATACTTTAGTCCGGAAGGGGCTGCAGACCTGGACGGATTAGGGTGTTACATGAGATGTATAATAGGATTTCAGATTCGTTGGTGCAAGGTGACAACGATACGTCTACCAAAGGGGAAAAAATTATTGTACCTCCTACGTTTGTTAGCGGTGCCCGTTACATGATTCAAAACTATCAAGATGTTATGGCAATATGTCGTTGGACTGGCTATCCAGATCTCTTTCTAATGTTCACTTGCAATCCAAAATGGTTAGAGATTGAACGTTACTTGCGTGGAAGAGACTTAAAGGCTGAAGATCGTCCAGATATTGTTTCTAGGGTCTTTAACATGAAACTAAATGGATTAATACGAGACTTAAAGAAGAATAAGATTTTTGGAAGAATTAGAGGATGTAAGTTCTTTTCTTTGTCTACTTTATACTCAATCTAATATATTATAAGTACATTATCCAATATAATTCGTGTCCCCTCTTTTAATTACAGTTGTTTATACTGTCGAGTTCCAGAAGCGCGGACTCCCACATGCTTGTTACCCTTGGTTCGCTAAGCCTCATGTTTTGATGTTAACAAACAATATAAGAGTTTAACGTTTGTTTAAGTGTTTCAGGAAAAACAAGAATCCATTAAGATTCGATACTCAAAACTGAAGTCGAAACACTAAACTAGCGTAGAATATAGGTAGAAACCAATGTAAGGATATAACTTTATATACCTATATTCACAAGCTCAAAAGCACTCACAAAATATGTTTAAAACCATCCCATAAACATTTTCAAACATCTAAAAGGTTTTAAACTCAAAATGGATTAAGGGAATTTTGGAAAAATCAGGACAGTGGCACGATACCCCTAGCGGTACCCCAAACGGTAGGGTATACCGCCTACACGGTACCCCCATACCGTGTAACGGTACCTAGGCACCGGACGGTAGGCGAAGACGGTTGGCCCAACCCGTCCTAACCAGGTACCGCCAGAGGTAAACCGAACTTTTGGCTTACACGGTACCCCCAAACGGTAGGCTATACCGTGGTCACGGTACCTAGGTACCGGACGGTACTGACCCTACCGTGAAGGGTACCGGATCCGTTGTAATCACTGTAGCAAATTGCCAATTTAAATTCTAATCACCTCCCAACGGCTAATTAATATTTTCCACTATAAATACAAGCCTAATCCTTCATATTTCTAAAAGAAACAAAAATCTAAACATCCTCCCTTTATATTCTAAGTGGATTCATTCTTTTATTAATTATTTTCAATATTTTGGCTATTTCAAGAGCCTTAAATTCCTAATTTTTATACACACACTTTGAGCTTGTGTTTCTAGTTATATACTCTCATATTCATAAGTTTGTATTGTTTTTTTGGGAGAGTATAATTTCCTTCTACACCGGCTAAGTTTTGTTCTTCATTTTATATTCTAGCCGTTGTGTAGAATCGTCTTTTGTGTTTTTCAAACACACCTTCTTACGGTCGAGAATAGCCGTTAAATTTTCACGTTGTAACGATTAAGGATAGTCGTATAAATCCTTGGGTAAAGGTTCAAGGATAGCCTTGGAAATCCTTGGGGGAGCGGTAGAAGATAGCCGTTAACTCTTCATTGTAAATGGTTCGAGATAGCCGTTGTGAAATCTTGGAGTGAATCCATTTGGCAAGGGTTGTTTGCCAAACTAATGTGGTGCTTTTACGGAGTTCAAGAGGCCGGAACTTAGTGGATTCGGAAATCCTTGAGGAGGAGCCTCGAGGTACTGGAGTAGGGAGTTCCCGAACCAGTATAAAATCGGTGTGCATTTTATTTACGCTTTTATTTCTGCGTTTTATATATTGTTTCCGCATTTGCCAACACCGTTTTTATTAAACTCCTAAAAGATTTTAAAACACCTTATTCACCCCCCCTCCCCTCTAAGGCGTGGGCACAACGACTAAACCGATTAACAATTGGTATCGGAGCAGTTTCGTAGTTGAAAGTGCTTAACTGCATCTACGACAAAGATCCACTTGTTGTGTCCCGTTTTAAATTTCAAAAATTTTATTTTTCCTATTTATTAAAATTCAAATTTATTGAAAAATGGCCCAAATAGATTCCAAAGCATTCATCGCCCTCCGTTTTTCTATGGCCAAAACTATTCTTATTGGAAAATGCGGATGGAATACTTCATTTAATCTATTGATTTTGATTTATGGTTGAATGTACTTCACGGGACGTTTGCGCCGAGTAATGGTGATTTTGCAGGATTATCGTCGGAAGATAAGAGAAAGTTATCAATGAACGCAAAGGCAATCAACATCCTCCATTGCTCTCTCGGCCCCAATGAATTTGCACGAGTATGCTCATGCAAAACGGCCAAGGAGGTATGGGACTTGCTACAAGCTACTCATGAAGGCGACGTCTCAACTAAGCAAACGATGATTGCCCTTGGGAATTCCGAATATGAATCTTTCAAGAAAGAGCCATGCGAGACAATCCAAGACATGAACAAAAGGTTCAATGAGATCGTCAATAAGTTAAGTAAGTTGGGTAAGACGTATACTACTTCCGAGCTTAATACGATAATTCTATTTTCTTTACCAAAAGAATGGCATAGTAGTATCGTAGACTTATTACCCAAATGTGATACGGCCGAAACCGCCTACATTTTGTCTTCCTTGTATTCTCACGAACTTTTGTTGAGAAAGATAAAAGAGGAAGAAATGTGTGAAAATCCCAAACTTACAAACGCCTTCAAAGCTTCCAAAGAATCATCAAGTGAAGAGTCAAGTGAATCAAGTGATGATTCAAGTGACTCAAGCTCGACGGAAGAGTCAAATGATGAAGAAGATGAAGAGAAGGCAATGAGAATGAAGTATACGGATTTCCTCAAATGGAAGAAGTATGTGAAGAGGAAAGAAGTATACTCAAAGCTGAAAAAAGAACGGCATAAGCCAAGGTAAGTTTCTCTTGTCATTGGGATAAGATATTTTGTTTGGTTTTAATTATTTTCAAAAAATAAAACCTTATCCCATACGTGCTTTTATTTGTTTTAGCCTTGGTTTGCATGATTAAATAATATTTTCAAAATCCATTTTAAATCATGCCTTTTATAAAATAATCCCAAAAAATCCATGAAAAATAATGTTTTTAAAAACTTGCATAATTTTAGGGGGAGTTTTCATTTTTAGGGGAAGTTTAGTTGTAAATGCACCTTTTGCCCAATGATATCCAAACTATCATTTTTCCTAAAAATTCATTTTGACAGGGGAAGGGTTTCAAGAAGTTATACATGGCTAAAATTTTCAAAATACCCTTTTTGATTTTGACAAAAGGGGGAGAAGATGTATACTTCAAAGTGGTGCATATGCAACTTGACTTGAGTGCATTCTTGTGTAACTATTTGCATCAAACTTAAACTTTTAATAAACACAAGAAAATTTAAAAGTGAGTATTTTCAATATGCTTATTCTTAGGGGGAGCTTGCTTGCTTCATTATTTTACTCCCGCCTAACTCACTTTGAAGTATATTGTTTGTCAACATCAAAAAGGGGGAGATTGTTAGCCTTGGTTTGCTAAGCTCATGTTTTGATGTTAACAAACACTATAAGAGTTTAACGTTTGTTTAAGTGTTTCAGGAAAAACAAGAATCCATTAAGATTCGATACTCAAAACTGAAGTCGAAACACTAAACTAGCGTAGAATATAGGTAGAAACCAATGTAAGGATATAACTTTATATACCTATATTCGCAAGCTCAAAAGCACTCACAAAATATGTTTAAAACCATCCCATAAACATTTTCAAACATCTAAAAGGTTTTAAACTCAAAACACGAAGGATTAAGGGAATTTTGGAAAAGTCAGGACAGTGGCACGGTACCCTTAGCGGTACCCCAAACGGTAGGGTATACCGCCTACACGGTACCCCCATACCGTGTAACGGTACCTAGGCACCGGACGGTAGGCGTAGACGGTTGGCCCAACCCGTCCTAACCAGGTACCGCAAGAGGTAAACCGAACTTTTGGCTAACACGGTACCCCCAAACGGTAGGCTATACCGTGGTCACGGTACCTAGGTACCGGACGGTACTGACCCTACCGTGAAGGGTACCAGATCCGCTGCAATCACTGTAGCAAATTGCCAATTTAAATTCTAATCACCCCTAATAACCTCCCAACGGCTAATTAATATTTTCCACTAAAAATACAAGCCTAATCCTTCATATTTCTAAAAGCAACAAAGCTCTAAACATCCTCCCTTTATATTCTAAGTGTGTTCATTCTTTTATTAATTATTTTCAATATTTTGGCTATTTCAAGATGTTGAAACACGGGCTTGTCACGTTTTCGTACTAAAGCCGTGTTCGTTTTTGTAACAGGTTTTGATAATGCCAAACCGCCGTGATCAAGTCGAACATTGAATATACAAGGCGAAGAACGAAGATAAGAGCAAGAGCTAAACGAAGACCAAGAACGAAGACCTTAATCATAGTATTGAGTCGGTCATTATTGTGATCAAGACCGATCCAATCTTTACACCTTGGCTCTTTAGGCTAAAAACTCTCATTGCATTTCTTACATCATAAAAATGGTTTTAAACTTGTTTAAGTCATTAAAAACACTTGGTGTTCGCCCAAACCAAAAACCAAGCCATCATGTGTTCGGCTTTCAGAAACCAGCGTTCGGCTTTCGGTTGTCGGGTTTGGTTTTTAGCATCCGAACCAACCAAGTGGTTTTCAGCATTTTATGATCTCCTTTCACTCTTTGGCATGTTTAAACGGTTCTCCAACAAAAACACTTTGAAAACCATCCCTCGTTTTTTAGTCGTTTGACAAAAGCCAAGCAAAACGGCGTAAACTTGGCTAGCCGTGGTTTTTAATCAAATGAAGTGATTTTTAAAGTGTCTCACTTGATTTCTTAGCCAAATACATCAAATAAGTGTTTTAAACACTTGGTTTTTATTTTGGAGAACCTTGGTTTTTTCGGTCGGTTTTTGCATCGGTTGGCTAGGCCGTGGTTAAGGCAAAAACCACAGGTTTTTGGCTAACCACCCACCCAGCGATGGGAAGAACATCCCATCGATGGGTAAGTAGCCCCTTAGCCAAACCAACTTCCAGAACCATGCCAAACAGCGATGGGAAGCTCTACCCATCGCTGTTCAAGCCTTGGTCCAATATTATCACAAGGCAGAATGTCCTTACCCAGCGATGGGAAGCTTTACCCATCGATGGGAACCCAGCGATGGGAAGGCTAAACCATCGATGGGAAGGCATGACCGTTGGAAGTCATTTAAGGTTGATTCTTTCCTTGTTTGGAAGTCAACCTCCCACCCAGCGATGGGAAGCTTGTACCCATTGATGGGTAGGTAACCGTTGGCTTCAAAACTGAAGGAAAATTGGCCTACCAGCGATGGGTAATGCCCATACATCGCTGGGAAGCCAATATCCTGCAGATCCCAAATTTATTCAATCCCTTAAATCAAGCCAATCACCCCTTTAATGCATTGGTCCGTTGGAGCCTTTTTGGCACTATAAAAAGGGGTGTTTGGGTCTGCTTTTCTCACCAATTCACTTCACAACATTCATACTTTAATTGCATTCAAATATCATCATTTTCCATAGCTTGCTAGAGCCATTTTGTGTGAAGGTTGAACTGTTCTTGAGCGTACTTAGTTTACTCATAATCTACTCTATAAGAGAGTCTCGTTCTTGAGTGTATTTGTGTTCCTAGACACTTTGAGAGAAGGTACTTCTCTCAGTAGATTCAAAGGAAGGGCTGTTTCCTTTGAAGGATTCGTTGAGGTTCGTGTGACTCGAACTCTCAAGTTGTAACGGTTTGTTAAGCACCCGCAAGCTTAACGAGATAGTAGTGTAGCTCGAGAGAGTCTCTCAGGAGGCTGGATTAGCCACAAGTTGTGGTGAACCAGGGTAAAATTCGGTGTGCTTCTTACTCTTTTCTTTACTTCTCCCTTGAATTTTTAATTCCTGCGATTTCTACGATCAAACGCTATTCACCCCCCCTCTAGCGTTGGTCTCTTATTCTAACACAAGAGCCTTAAATTCCTGATTTTTATACACACACTTTGAGCTTGTGTTTCTAGTTATATACTCTCATATTCGTAAGTTTGTATTGTATTTTTGGGAGAGTATAATTTCCTTCTACACCGGCTAAGTTTTGTTCTTCATTTTATATTCTAGCCGTTGTGTAGAATCCTCTTTTGTGTTTTTCAAACACACCTTCTTACGATCGAGAATAGCCGTTAAATTCTCACGTTGTAACGGTTAAGGATAGTCGTATAAATCCTTGGGTAAAGGTTCAAGTATAGCCTTGGAAATCCTTGGGGGAGTGGTAGAAGATAGCCGTTAAATCTTCATTGTAAACGGTTCGAGATAGCCGTTGTGAAATCTCGGAGTGAATCCTATTGGCAAGGGTTGTTTGCCAAACTAGTGCAGTGCTTTGACGGAGTTCAAGACGCCAGAACTTAGTGGATTCGGAAATCCTTGAGGAGGAGCCTCGAGGTACTGGAGTAGGGAGTTCCTGAACCAGTATAAAATCTGTGTGCATTTTATTTACGCTTTTATTTCTGTGTTTTATATATTGCTTCCGCATTTGCCAACAGCGTTTTTATTAAACTCCGAAAAGATTTTAAAATACCTTACTCACCCCTTCTAAGGCGTGGGCACAATGACTAAACCGACTAACAATGCTCACATCTTATTGTTTTTGGGTCAAGAAGATAAATTCCCCACGCCTAAAGACATTGATCAAATCATATCTGCTGAGTTGCCTGATGAATTGAATGAGTCAAGATACTTCAATGCTATTCGAGATTTTATGATTCATCGCCCGTGTGGCTCGAATTCACCAAACTCACCTTGCATGAAGGATGGAAAGTGCTCTAAATATTTTCCAAAGGAATTCAATGAGGAAACTAATATAATATTGACGAGGATGGCTACCCAAAATATCGAAGAAGGAATAATGGTCGGACAATAATGAAGAACAATGTTGAGTTGGATAATAGGTTCGTAGTCCCACACAATAGATATTTGTTGATGAAGTACGGTGCTCACCTAAATGTTGAATGGTGTAATCAATCGTGTTCCATCAAATATTTGTTCAAGTACATCAACAAAGGCCTTGATCGTGTCACCGCAGGATTTTATGCTAGCACACAAAGCGGAGAGAAAAAGCAGACAGAAACTCCAAATGAAATTAAAATGTATTACGATTGCAGATATATCTCTTCTTGCGAGGCAACATGGCAAACATTTGGATTTCCAATACAATATAAATGTCCTAATGTTGAACGTTTAAGCTTTCACCTTCCTGGTGAACATTGGATTTTCTTTAAAGATGATGATGATGCAAGTGATGTTTACACTCGAGAGAGCATAACAGAGAGTAAATTTTTTGCTTGGATGAAAGCAAATGACAAATATCCTCTTGCAAAGACGCTAACATATGCCAAGTTCCCGAAAAAATTTGTTTGGAAGCAAGCTAAAAGAGAGTATGTACCTCGACTCAGAGGCTTTGCTATTGAACGTGTTGTATATATACGTCCCACCAGGCTCTGGTGAGTCTTATTATATGAGAATTCTTCCAGACATAGTTCGAGGTCCGACGTCGTACGAAGATTTAAGAACTGTCAATGGTGTTATTCACAACACCTATCGTGATGCATGCTATGCTCTGGGTTTACTAGATGATGACGGAGAGTACATCGATGCTTTTAAGGAAGCAAGTCATGAAAATTCCACATGTAATATTAAACAAAAAAATCTCTTGCAGATTTATTGGTTATGAGCAAACTTATAATGTAACGCCCTAGAAACCGGCTTAGAAGTTAATCAATAATTAAATAAATAAGAATTATTTATCTATGATAATTTATTATTTTAAAGAATTAAAAGATAATTTAGAGATTTTAAATGTCTCAATATAACAAAACTAATCTGATTATAATTGTAAAGATTTAAATTAAAAGACTGATCGGTATTAATTAATCGAAGGAATTAAGACGGAACAGGTGCGACTTATAAATACTTTTTGATTAATTATAAAAGTTATATCATTGGGTAGGGATCGATGAATCGAATCCAACGACGCGAACGGATCTCAATTCGGAGTAAGTTGGCTTGAAAAGTGTGTTTTTACTCGGACATGTTATTTTTAAACTTCAGGGTACAAAACCCTAGGCTGTTACGTGCTCCTTCTTCGATTCAACGCTGCCACCTATCTTCTTCTTCTTCTTTGACTGAACGGCGCAGCGACAGAGGAGACCCACAAATCGTCGTCATTGATGCATCGGCGTCTTCGGAAATTGGCGTGAGATGGGTCAGCGTCATCCCTACGGCTCTCCTCCCTGATGGCTTTCGGCGATTGGAGTCTCGGCGAGAGAAGTAGTGACGCCGACGACGGACTGCAGAGGCGCAACGACCAGCCGGCGAACCAGCGACGGCACCCAGGCTACAGACTGACGATGACGTCTGGACAGAAACTCCGGCGAAACAGCGAGGAACTTCGGCGAGGGCTATTCTCTGTTCCAGCGAACCAGGAAGCTCCGGCGATTTCCCTCTGTTCGGGTGACTGGTTCGAGCAGCAGCGATGGCGCGGGTCCCCTTTGCTCTAGTGACCTTCGGGGATGTCCAAGACGAATTGGGCAGCGACAGTGCACGTACTCGGTCAACGATTATTGGACAATGCTTTCCCTGAATTTCAATTGAGCAAACGAGGTGAGTACGTGGACATCTAACACTATAATATGCATCTAGGTTTGAAATTCTGTTCATAATTATTATCGTGGTTGATCTATTTGATTTATCCTTATAATTGTTAATTGTGGTTTTGGGAATTGTTGCCATTGAATCGAAAAGGGTAGAATGCATGACATAGGCATTGATTGTCTTGTTAAGGTGCTCGATAATGTTTAGGACATTAATATGAACCTATTGGTGTTGTTGTTATCAGAATTGTTATTGGTTGATGCTCTGTTGATCTGTGTCTTTGTCTAGGATTGATTCTGAGATTCCATGTGAGCATGACGGTAATCATGGGCCTTTGGTTCTGATAGGTCGCTATTTGATATGTTGCTGAATAATGAATTGAGATTTGAACTAAATTAATCTCATTGGTGATTATTCTGAATTGTGAATAATATTGGAAATAGGCCACCTAGTTTAATTAGGTGGACCCGAATTGGATTGAATGATTGGATCACCAATAGGATGACTCTAGAGTTTAGGCCATTGCGGGGCGTCGTCGCACACCCGGTGGTCTTGGGTTAAAAACGTACGTACGGAAGTCCTTGAACTGTCTTGGCATCGCAGAGACAGGGGCTTCAACCCGCCCAGAGTGAATCTCCTTTGGGTTTTCTAGAGCTGGCCCTTTTATAGCATCGCTTGGGGTGCCATGACTCATAGGCATATGAATTGCCTTAGCCATCATAGGTTAAGAGGTGTGATTTGGATAAATGAATATGAATATCGTAAGATGTTTCGAATATTAAATATTATTATACCTGTGTGCATGATGAGCGGAAATAAATGTTGACTATGCATGTTATATCTTGTATGTCGTATGATCGTTGCCCAGCATGTTGTGTGCATGATATCATGTGATAATTGTGAATTAGTGGATTCATCTAAGTGTATGTTCGAACTGTTAGATATTTCTCACTCAGCTTATCGCTGAGCGTGTAGTTTGTTCTGTCTTTCTACACGTAGGTAATAACGAGCTAATCCTGGAGGGCACAGAGACGGAGGAGATGTACGGATGCAGTACTCGAACCGTTAACANATCGTTGCCCAGCATGTTGTGTGCATGATATCATGTGATAATTGTGAATTAGTGGATTCATCTAAGTGTATGTTCGAACTGTTAGATATTTCTCACTCAGCTTATCGCTGAGCGTGTAGTTTGTTCTGTCTTTCTACACGTAGGTAATAACGAGCTAATCCTGGAGGGCACAGAGACGGAGGAGATGTACGGATGCAGTACTCGAACCGTTAACATATATGATGGTTGTACTGTAACTCGTTTTCTGATAATGATCTATTAAATATGTTTATTTAAAATAACAGTTTTGCTTCCGCGCTGTTTTGAATTAACTCCGATAAACGTTTAAGTTCTAATTGAAATGTTTGGATGTTTAATTAAATGTTTTTTTTATTTATTGGAAATATTGTGTGTGGATACCAATTTAGTAACAACCCGGTTCGCTAACCTATTTATTCGGGTTACACGGGTTGGGGTGTTACATATAATATGGGACGAAGCTCCAATGACCCATAAATATTGTTTTAAAGCCGTGGACCGAACTCTGCGTGATGTAATGAGTGTAGTTTGTCCAACAAATTCGAACCTACCATTTGGAGGAAAGATAATTGTGTTTGGAGAAGATTTTCGACAAATTCTACCCATCATACCTAAAGGAAGAAGGCAAGACATCGTCAATGCTACGATTAATTCTTCGTATTTGTGGAAATATTGCACGGTCTTACGCTTGACAACTAACATGCGTTTACAACACATGTCTCGCGATGACAACTTTGAGAGCATGAGAGAACTTGCAGAGTGGATTGCGAGTATCGGTGATGGTTTTGCCAGGCAAGAAAACGATGGAGTTGGCGAGGTAATTATCCCAGAGGATATGTTGTTAAAAACTATGGATGATCCAATTGCATCTATAGTAAAAGCAACTTATCCAGACTTCCATAATATTGCAAATGATCCAACATATTTGCAAAGTTGGGCAATCTTGGCACCAACACTAGAAGTCGTGGATGAAATAAATGAATACATGACGTCATTAAACAACGTCCGAGAAACAAAAACTTACTTGAGTTCTGATGCAGTGTGTAAATCTGATTCAAACGTAGACTTCTTGACGGACATGCATTCTCTTGAGTTTCTGAATAACATACGAGCTTCTGGTGTGCCAAACCATGAGTTGAAGTTAAAGATCGGAACACCAGTCATGTTGTCGAGGAATATTGATCAATCTTCAGGTTTGTGCAATGGGACAAGGTTGATTGTTACTCTACTAGGCAATCATCTTATTCAAGCTACGGTGCTTACGGGGAAAAATATTGGACAAGAAGTTGTTATCCCACGGTTGTTGCTTACACCGTCAGATATATACCAGGATTCCTTTTAAGTTTCAAAGGAAACAATTCCCAATAATGATTTCATATGCAATGACAGTTAATAAAAGTCAAGGGCAATCATTATCACAAATCACAGAGGTTTAAAGATCTTGATATGCAATGAAGACCCAGCTAAGATGAACCAAACCGCCAATGTAGTTTATAAAGAAGTTTTCCAAAATTTATAATGTAATGGTTTCACAATCTATATCATTGATATTTCCTCCACTGAAATATTTCATTCTATATTCATATGTTTATTTAATCATATCAAATTCCAACATCAATACTTTTACTCATTATTTAGCTTTTAATTAGATCGTGCAACGCACGGGTTCGAGTCTAGTTGAACATAAAATGAGTGGAGGGGGAGGGAGGATACTCGTAAAATAAAGATTGGGCCGGATCGGTCCCTGTCTATCAGCACACCAAAGGGCAAAGGCACGAGAAGAGAAAAAAAACAAGATAGAAAAAGACACGAGACTTTCGGCACATTGGATTCTTTTTCAAAGTCCAAACAACGGTCGATCGTGTCGAACTCCGACGTTAACACTTCACCGTATCCCTCCCTCACTGAGAAAAAAATACAACGGAATACTCTCTCTCTCTCTCTCTCTGGAATGCCCTAGGATAGGAAAGGAAAGGAAAGGAAAGGAAAGGATATCCTACTCTGCTTTTGATCATTTCATTCATAGCATATCCTGCCACTAATTCTTTGCTGTAAAGTGACCACTTTCTCATCCCTCTACTCCCTTGTCCAACAAATGGCCGATGAACTCACCCTTCAACCCTCCTCCGCGGCTGAGAACCCGCCGCCGCCGCCGCCGCCTCTACCCGAAGATGAACCGCCTCTCGCTTCTCTAGAGATACCGCCGCCTGCTGCGGTGGAGCAGCAAGACGAAGCTGCTGTTGCTGGCCTTGAGAAAGAGGCATCTCTCGGTTCAGCGCCCCCGCCTTCGGAACCATCTGCCGCCCCAGAACAGCCGCCGCCCACGGCGGAAGTGGGTGTTGCTGGATCGGTGGCGTCCAAGCCCGGTGAAGCAAGAAAGGTGCCTGAATCTCTTGTTTCGTTCAAGGAGGAAAGTAACCTAGTCTCAGATCTCTCCGATTTCCAGAGGAAGGCACTGGAGGAATTCAAAAGCCTCGTCCAAGAAGCGCTTAAAGATCGTGTCTTTAACCCTACCCAAACTCCAAAAACCGAAGAATCCCAATCTGCTTCCTCTGAATCAAAGACCCCATCATCCGAAGTCTCGAATTCACCTCAAGAAGTGTCACTCTGGGGAATCCCACTCCTGAAAGATGAGAGGAGCGACGTGATTCTACTCAAATTCCTCAGAGCTCGTGATTTCAAGGCGAAGGAATCATTTTCCATGTTAAAGAACACTATATCCTGGAGGCAAAAATTCAACATTGATGGCATTGTGGATGAGGACCTAGGAGATGATCTAGACAAGGCTGTGTTTATGCACGGACACGACAAGGAGGGTCACCCTGTTTGCTACAACGTGTATGGAGAGTTTCAGAACAAGGAGCTGTATAACAAAACATTCGCGGATGAGGAGAAGAGGTCAAGATTCTTGCGGTGGCGCATTCAGTTCTTGGAGAGGAGTATCAGGAATCTGGATTTCTGTCCTGGTGGAATCAATACTGTTTTTCAGGTTAGTGATCTTAAGAATTCACCAGGACCAGGAAAGCGCGAGCTTCGGATTGCCACTAGGCAGGCACTGCAGCTGCTTCAAGACAATTATCCCGAGTTTGTGGCAAAGCAGGTCTTTTTTTATATATATCTTTGCAAGCACTATCTGTTGAAGATGGGTTTTTTTATTTCCTGGAGAGTTGCACAAATTTCGTTTCGTGATATGTTTAATTAATTATATACAAATGTGGAGTCCTGTTATATAATTTTGAAATTGCTTTGCTGGTTGAGTAGCACGAGAACTGAGTAGAAAACAATACACTCTGTATCGAACTATTGGAGAACATGTTTTTTTTGGTAAACCATTCTTTAGCCCAAAAAGCATTATTTTCACAAAATCCTGCACAAAATCTCCCTCACCAAAACCCCTGTTGGGATATAAGTAGAATTCAAGTTAGTGCAAAAATGTCTTCCTCTTTCTCCAGATAATCTAGTCTGTTTGCAACCTAGTGTCTACTGTTAAGTAGTAATAAGTGTCTGTTTTTAAAGGTAGAAATCTTTAATATAAACAATACAAACACAACACACTGACTTTAGTTGGTTACTTACTATTTGACTGTAATTTCTTTCTTAAAGCGAGATTCAATTTCAATTTTAGTGTTGAAATAAGTGTATTTTTCGGGGTTATTGAAGGTATTCATCAATGTTCCATGGTGGTATATGATTGTAATAAGTGTGTTTTTATCAATTATTGAAGGTGTTCATCAATGTCCCATGGTGGTATATGGCTTTTTATACGATGATTGGTCCGTTCATGACACAGAGGACCAAAAGCAAGTTTGTATTTGCCAGCCCAGCAAGGACCGCAGAAACCCTTTTCAAGTATGTAACGGTTTAATTTTCTGCTAGTACTCAAATATCAACCGGGATTCTTGTGATGTGTTGGAATAGCCAATAGCTAGAATATAATTTTGTTATATTGTTCTCAAACCAGGTACATATCTCCTGAACACGTGCCAATTCAATACGGCGGCCTTAACGTCGATTATTGTGAATGTAACCCAGAGTTTACAGCTGATAATCCAGCTACTGTGATCAATATTAAACCTGCAACAAAGCAAACTGTGGAAATAATTGTGAATGAGGTTCAATTAGATGCCTTTTCTTCACTTATATTTTTTTTGTGTACCATACGGTAATTTATTATTGATGATCGATCGCTAATAAAGGGTTTTAATTGGATTTACAGAAGTGCGTCATCGTTTGGGAGCTACGTGTATTGGGGTGGGAGGTAACTTATAGTGCCGAATTTGTGCCAAGCGCCGAAGGTAGCTACACCATAAACATTCAAAAGCCTAGGAAAATGGCACCAACCGATGAACCTGTAGTTTCCAACAGCTTCAAAATAAGTGATCTTGGTAAGATACTTCTCACGATTGACAACCCGACATCAAAGAAGAAGCAACTTCTTTACAGGTTCAAGGACGTTCCTTTCTCCGGTAAGGGTTCTTCCCAACATGAATAACCACTTCATGTATCAAGTGCCAACATGAGTTTTACCTGATGAGAATGGTCCTTCCATGTCAATTTGTGGGCCTTTTCTTCCTCTTTGGGTCATGTTCATATCATCAGTGTGTGTTTGAAGAAGATGACAACATGTGGGCACCATGGTGGAAGATGATTATTTGGAAAAAAAACAGGGACATATAGGCTGGCTGAAAGTTGTTTGTGCTACAGTTTGCTTTTGTATGGTTGCATTCTGCTGTTTATTTTGTTTATTAAATGTGTTTTGGGACAATTTGACACTTGTCTATGCTAGTGTATTTCTAGTGTACTCTTTGACACTTGTGTATCCTCCCCATAGTTTTGAGTGCTCAATGTACATTGAATATTTTCTAGTGTTATTTTAATTCATTATGTGGAGCCAAACTGTCCTAGCCTTTGGGCATTTCTGGCTGTTAGACTTAATTTTTAATGGTACATATTAATGCTTAAAGGTAGAAATACTAAAGTAGGACTAAAACATTGAAAATATACCAAAATAGGACTTTCATGTTTTTGTTCCCAAAATAGGATTTACATTACCAAACATGGTCATATACATTACCAAAAATGTATAGTAATTTGCACATGTACACTGCCACATTACCACAATGCAAAGTCACATTATCACAGTGCAAAGTCCTATTCTGTGAAAAAAAATATGAAAGTTCTATTTTGATATTTTTTTCTATGTTTTAGTCTTATTTAGGATGATTTCTAATGCTTAAAACTATAAAAACTAAATTCTACTCTAGAATAACTTTTTGAAAAGGTTAAAGCTAAATGATAAAGCTAGTTCGAAAGTGCCAAGCGGATAGTATGGAGTAGTTATTAGGGAAAAATACGTCAAAACCCAAATTCTCTTCATTTTATATCAATAATTTTGCATTTCTTTGTAACAATCTTACCTTTGCTACAGAATATATGGTAAATTCTGGAGTGAATTTGCCAGGGTAAATTTTTTTAATTCATTTAGAGAAATGCTATAGTCACAAAATACACATATTTGCCATTTGTGCATCTTACCAAGTAAATAAAATGATGTTAAATAAATAAAAAATAAATATTTAATTATACAAATAGCAAGTTTGTGTATTTTGTGACCGAAGTATTTGTAACTCTAGCACTTCTCATTCGTTTATGTGAGATGGTCCATGCATTGTTGTATCGACTTTGAGTTCATGATAGAAGTACTCTTGTTATTTGCATACGCTAACATTCCTCCATTCAAATGAGGATCACATTTGTGGATACAATAGTGTATGATCGGCGGGGATCTTTTGACCTTGGATTCTAAAGTCATTTTATGATCCGGGCACCTAAGGTCCCCTGTTGGTAACATTGAGTGGGAGGCTGGGGGTTTGGAGGCATAGGGGTTTGGAGGTAGGGGGATGTTGTGGTGGGGGCATAGGGGTTTGGAGGTAGGAACCATAAATTTTATCAACGGAGCACCGTAGATGCCCTGAGTCATAATACGGAGTATGACCTTGGAATCAAAAGTTAAACGAACCATTTTAGTGTATGATTGTATCTATATGATATAATTCTCATTATCATTGAGTATCATCACATTTTGAAACAAAATGATGTAATATAATATCATGCTAATACCATACCAAAAACAAAATCACGCACTTTAACTCAAATACTAAAATGAAAACACAAGCTACATCTGTTCAAAGTGTCATAAATAAGTATAAATAGTATAACCCTAAATTTTGTCAATGAAGCTCTTAGATCGAGTTACTTTCGCTCTGGGGAAAAAGACAAGGAAGAAGGCCAACAATTTCACCGGGTTCATTTAAGGTAAAATTAATTTATTTAAAAAAGATTCAAATGACATCAAATTTAATTCTATCATTTTAGATGTATTGTCAAATCATTAATTAACTTCACGTAATTACTAATTACGCCCGAAGCTGGCTTAGTTGAGTTAAAGTAGCGATGTAAAATTGGAAGATCTCTAGGAGTATTGGCATATGAAAAAATCTGGAATTAATAAAGTATAATCGGCTAAATATGAGAGTATTACTATAAATTTTGCCTTATTTTGAAGTTAAAGCTCCAAACTCCTACTACTAAAGACTTCTTCATTTCTTTTTAACCTTCCTCTTTACTCTTCATATAGTTAAACTATATTTACATTATATATGCAAAACCATCTCAATTTTTGTCGAGTAATGCAAAATAATCCTGCATTCTATGTGGTGCATAGATTAGACACTAATTTTCTCTCTTCTAAACAAATTTAATAATGTATATATATATGTGTGTGATATTTTTTAAAGTCTTTGAAGTCAAAGTATAAAATCTAACATGGAAAAGATATTACTCCTATTTTGGCTCTCACAGGCTTCGAACAACTTCAAAGACATGGCGTTGCCAGGACAAGGTAAGAGTCAAAGTTGGAGTTGATCTGGCATATCCCGATTTCACATGGTCTCCTTGGCTTTGAGATATGGAAAATCATTATACTATTGAAGTGTGCCGGCCTCCAGGATACATATACTCCTTCCTTCCTCCGACAATAAATTTATAAAAAAATTATCCTAAATAAAAATAAAATATAGATAAAGTATCGCTTTGTGTTTTTATTCTCAAAATTGAATTTGCATTGTATTAATGTGACACTGTATATAGACATTTTACAATACTTTTGATAATGTATATGATCATGATTGACAATGTAAATGCATTTTAACTCTTATTTCAAGAATAAAAACAAGGAACTCCTATTTTGGTATATTTTAAATGTTTTACTTCTACTTTAGTCTTTTTCTCAAATTTCTATTTTTTAATGATCATTCTAAATTATTGGACACGCTTTTAAAAAAATAAATAATCTTAGTACACATCTTACGAAGTAAAACAATTTTATTTTTATTCTAAATACATTTCAACAAAATATTTTTTTTGAAATTTTGTAAAATCCATTACTCCATGTATTATATAAATTTTTTTTAATATTATCAACACTACTGTTTGTATTACATATCTATCTATACTTTCTCAACTCAATGACATACGGTAAGTCAATATCTCTGCTGAAAAATAGACTTGAGTAAATATCTTTGTGCTGGTCCCAAAGATTTTAGGGTCGTGCACGAGACCAAAAGATTAAATTTTATAATATATATTCCTCTAAATAATTAACATTATAAAAATACACATAGCAAAATCACAGGATTCAAAATTGTTTTTGTAATAGCTACCTTAAAATTTAAGTTTTTAAATTTTTATTAAAAATATACTTCATTTAATATAAAAAAAATGTTGGGCCTCCAAAAAAAAGTCTAGGCCAGTAGGGCACCTTGGCCCACCCTTGGGTTGGCCTTAGAATATCCCATAAGATTTTGATGATTGTCTTCCTGACACTCAAACTAAGCAAGAAAACTCCGTGTAAAGTTATTTATAGAAGGGACAAGATACGTAATAAATGCTTTTAGACACTTTTTCCATTCATAAAAGGCTTTTATATTCTCGTTGTTTGAAATTTATAAAATAATGTTACACTTCTCTGCTTTTCCTTTTATGAAATGAACATGCTTTTCTTACTCTTTTCCTATCTTCAAAATAAATTTTAATTTGAACGGAGTACTTTATTCATCATATTTCGGGGTATTTATACATACACAGGGAGGAGGTAAAGTCTAGGTAAAACAAGGTAACCAGATATTCTAAATAATAAGAGTAATATATCTATCATATTTAACACCCCCCTCAGATATATCATCGTTCATTATACACTAATAACATTATGCTACGGGATAATGTTGGCTAGGTTCTTCAGGACCTATATTAACTGATACTGCAGGATCAATTATGCTGCCTCATTAAAAACCTTACTAAGAAAACCCAGAGGGACAAACTTAGTTAAGGGAAAAAGAGTACAGCGTGTATAATATTTTCCCTCAAAATAAAAATATACTCCCCCTCAAACTAATTTATCTCTTTTAGCCTGCGAAGTCCAATCTTCTTTCTGAGTTGCTCAAAATTGTGTCTAGGTAGAGATTTGGTGAATAAGTCTGCCAAATTTTGTTTGACTTAACTTGAAGAACATTGATCTCTCCTTCTTTCTGCAGATCAGATGTTGAGAAAAACTTTGCTGAGATTTGCTTCGTTCTGTCTCCCTTGATGTAACCTTCCTTGATTTGAGCTATGCATGTTGCGTTATTTTTATATATAATCGTAGCATTGTTCTTGATTTCTTTCAAACTTCATGCTCCTTGTATGAGATTGATCATCAATCTCTACCATGCTCGCTCTCTATCACTGTCGTATAAAGCTATCAATTCGGCTTGATTCCATGTTGTGGTTCGTGCTCGCTCAGTCGACTTCCAAGAAAAGGTTATATCACCTATGTGAACACTATATTTGTCTAATTTCACACTTAAAATTTGGTACCGCAGGACCAAGTACTTCTTCGCCCTCTTCTGGGAGGCGATTAGAATGTTATGTATATATATGAATGAACAACCATGGGTATGTTCAAAGGATGAGCTTTATCCATATTTCAACGTGTTAACATCTTCTGGATGTAGTTTAACTTATGGACAAATGTCCCATCATATAGGTGTTTAAAATACAATCCTAAGTATAATTTATGTCATGTCAAAATCTTCCGTCTCAAATTCTCTCTTCAAGAGTTCAACAATTTTTTCTATCTATTTAAGAGATCTAATGATATTTATACGTCGACGTAAACTGCTATAATAATGAATATTGAGAGTGATCCTTGAATAACAACACATAGGTTGATTTCAAATTTGTATACTTCTTTTTCGAGATATTCACTAAGTCAATTGTACCACATATGACCAGATTACTTGAGACCATACCACGATCTCATCACGCATATCTCGATGTATTAATTTTATTGCTTTTGGCATTTTGAATCCTTCTGGGATTGTTATCACACAGATGTCAATTTCAAGTGTCCCTTATAATTATGTTATAACGACATCTATATCATTTATTTGAAGTCCTTTTGAGATTGCAAGGCAAATTAAAATTCTAAAAGGATATCTCATCCACTATTGTAGAATACGTTTCCCCATAATCAACTCTTGGGATTTGGGAAAACTCTTGTCTTATAAGTAGTATTTCATATCACACAATCTCATTCATTTTATTTCTGTTTATTACAGACACCCATTTATAATCTATTGGTTTGACGTCTATGGGTGTTCAGACTTCAGGTCCAAAAATATTTCGTTTATCGAGTGACTTATATTCGACCTTTAAGGTCCTTTGCTATTTGGCAAATCATTTATGTAATATCTACATGTACTCTTCTTTGAGTTTTAGGCATGTAATCTCTTTTATTGATTACATCCATTGTCATAGCATATGCAAGAATATCATTAACACGTGTTTCATTTTGATTCCATATTGTACAGTCTCATACATAATTAATAGAGATCTCATTTTCTTTCGGTACCGATGTTTCTTTAGGAAACTTATTCTTCTGGAATCATATTAGTCTCTTCCAGGACATTTACCTCTTTTGGGGTTTCATTTTCTTCTAGAATAATATTAGTCTCTTCTGGGACAATGCCCTCTTCTGGGGTTGCAGTTCTAATCATGTATGTGGTTTCACTAATAGCATTTTTCTGCTATTTTCATTTTCGTGGGTCCTTATCTTTGGAACCGATTATTCTCTCACTTTCATTGTACAAAAGTCACTTTTGGGACTACCTTAAATCGAGCGATGCATAAGATGCTGGTATATGTAACTTTGTCACTCTGCTCGTATATGAGAATGCATCTAGTAATTTATTTGCTCTTCTTTGCAAATCAGACTTCAAAATTACATTGACCACCTCAGGAGTCAAAACTTACAATGATGATGCATTTCATATAATTTCTTGCATTACCAGTCTTTCATTATTCTTGTCTCCCCCTAAGACTGGGAATACTTGTCATAAAATTGACAATCAAGTAACTTTGTTAAAAATATATCTCCTGTCAAAAATTCTAAACATTTAACAATAGACGAGGAGTTATAGCCAATCATACACAGTCTTCTACATTATATTGAATGCATTGTGGGGGAGGGGGCATATAAGACACACAATCAAATATTGTCAAAAGGGACAAACTTGTTTCTCTTTGGGAGATATCAAGTGTAAGAAAATCAATATTTTGAATATTTGACATTTTATTTATAGGGAAGGATTAATAAAAATGAACATGTGTATATAAAATACATGTGAAGGAGAACTTCAGGTTCTCATATGTTGGAACTGCAGGTTCCTTATAATAAGACCATTTTTTTATAGTTGAGAAAATATCAAGAATTCACTTCTAACCAAAGTGTTTACAATTGACACATAAAATTCATAATGAGCACTTTATTTGCAATATCTTAGTACAATCTTCTTTCTTGAACTTCAGGTTCACATCTTCTTTAATTGAAGAATATATATATATATTCTAGCATATGTCATGGAATTTATCTTCCATTCAACTCCTTCAAAAACCTTCCCTCAGTATTTTCTACCATTGTGGTATCTTGATAATTTATCTTAATTTAAGCCCATTAAGCATCTGCTCCAAATAATTACCACATAAATGAAGATTCAAAATCTAGTATAAAATGATTTGTTCTCATAATCAAAAGTATAGCCACTAATTCGATGCACTTTGCATATTAACTAGAGCTGCAAGCTCTTATGTGACTAATGATGTTCAACATAACCTATAAATTATGTCCATAGGACAAATATCATAAACTTCGGGTTACGAGTTAATTGTCAACAAATATGACAAATATAACGATGCATCATATAAAACATTTAAATTTCCATCACAAATAGGTGATGGACCCAATCAATTCTCCTTAAATAATTTCTAAATATGTATGAAATGAATCTCAAGTTTCATTAGTAATAATCTCATAATAATCTTCTAATGAGAACAAGACTATAGGATCTTCTGGTCCTAATAATAACAGAAACTTCAAGTCCTTCAAATAGTACTCACTTGAGCTCTTAATGATTTTTTTTGGTCACATCACAAACTAAATCGTGATAATTTAATAGGTTATGTTTAAAATAAAAATTGGTTCAGTAAACTTCTTGTTTACGTGAAAACAAATCTCGATCAAGTGTCATGTAATATTCATTTCCACTGGTATCTTAAACATTAATAGAGACACCTTAAACAATAATTATTCTCTCGAAATATTCAATATTTATGAGACTTTTATTATTTCTATTATGTAGCTCTTATTATGCAATGCTCTTTTGGAGCTATCTGTTAGTTTTTTATAACAAGAAAATTATATCTACACTAACTTCTTTTATCACAAGAGAAAAGAATCTCTTACATCTAAAAAAATAAAATGTATAATCACTCCTTTGATTATAATATATTTACTACATCATTCTTCAGGAATATTGATGAGGAATTTTATATATATATATATATATATATATATATATATATATACACACACACACAACAACAACCCAGGTGAATCTCACAACAGTAGGGTCTGGGGAGGGTGTGTGTACGCAGACCTTACCCCTACTCGGAAGTAGATATATATATATATATATATATATATATATATATATATATATATATATATATATATATATATATATATATATATATATATATATATATATATATATAAGAACAAAGGTCTTGAAAATATCAAAACGTGTCTTTATAATGTGATTTTATTTTATTTTATTTTACTAAAAAAATAAGCCACTTCAGGTTGTAATTAAATATTATAAGACCTTAGGTAGTATCTCATATACCCATATATTGTGTTTGATGAACGTTATGACACTTAATTAATTTAGGAGATTATACATCTTAAGAATTTCTTTTCAGAATTCAATATTCTTCAAGAATATTTAGATTCAAACAGTCAATGTTTAAAAAAAATGTAATTCTATGTGACCATAATAGTGACTTTGATGTGTCCATATGTATAACCACAATGGTTGTGATGGCCTATTATATTCATGCATGTCAATCAATTTTTCACTCGCTTCAGGGAATGAATATGTAACATGATTTTTTTAAAAAAACCTTTCATAACCATGAAAACGAATGTGGAGTATATGGTTTTTTTTACACTACCACCTTAGAGAAACTAGATTCTCAAACACTATTTTGTAATCTCAAACCACATATACATGCAATTACATATATTGGTCACACAAATTTTATTGCAACTTAGTATATCACATCAAAATATAATACCATTGCATAAGGAGAGAATGCATTGAACAATGTATTTTAAAAAAATCATTAGGCCATTTTACTTCTGGAAAATGGTAAATACATAAGAAAAGTTTTAATTCTTTATTCTCTTCTAGAGAATATGGACATTTAGAATAAATATCCCATTTGATTCACTTTTGGGAATCAAAAATTAGCTAGGGAATCACATAGCATGAGTTGTGTAAACTTGGCAAATATAGAGTATTAAAATGCACATTTTCGTTCCCTTAGCATCAAAAACAAAGATAATCCATAATTGCGTATTTGAATGCTTTTTTTTGTTCAAAAACAAAATATGAATGAAGCTACCATTTTATAATGATGCATATCCAAATAAATTTAAATGCCATTTGTGCTTATGACATCTTAATCTTAATTTACATATACACGTAACTCCTCATGTGATAAAACATGATAAAATTTGATACTTCATTTGAAAATCCTCTTTTATAGGTCATGAACATACAAAACCACAAAATATTTATCACTTTTGTGATCAAAGAATAAATATGTACGTGGTATTTTTTTTCTCACATGAGTACCTATATCCATGCTTGTATACAATCACAACTTTTAAACGCAATAGTTCTAAATTTATACGCATATGACCAAGAACTAATGGTTCATCATTTTCTCTTTCGAGAAAAAAATATAACTTTCAAATTGATTTTCTATGGTAAATTTCAAGAGTTTGAAAAAAAACCTTTAGCATCTTCACAATCGAAAAGCATTATACCTCATAAAAGGAAAATTATACATTTTAGAGAAATAATAAATTTCAAACATGACTTGATGAAGTATTTGATTGGAATAGTTTCACAATGGGATTGGCACACAAACAAAGACCCCTAATTGACCACAAGTTTAGATCAATAGAGTGGGTTTCACCCAAACATAACAACATAAGTATCAATCTACAATTACTTCTGGATATGATGTGAGAGGATTGTATCATAAAGCAAAGGACAACAACAACAACAAGAAGCCCAGTAAAGTCCCACACAGGATTGTATCAAACACAACAATATGTAATAGAAATACAAAGAGAGTGCCTAAATAAATTAGAACTACTTTAAATCTAAAGCAGAGATATGTGGTTTTATGGATAGAAGGCACCAACCAATTTGCTAATATTATAAGGTAAGTGCTCAGATTTGCAACATCAATTTAAAGGTGAACGGGAAAAATCACCAAACTGTTCATAGAGTAGAACAGCTTAAAAGTAAGTTCATATAATCATGAGCAACTAAATAAGACTAAACTTTTGAAGCGATATTCAGTTAAGATCAAAAGCATCAAATGAAAAATTGTTGGTTGTAATTCCTGGGTGCACTATACCTTTGGTATGCTCAATAATCATTACATAGTTCTGCCACTCTTCTACTTAAGTAAATACCCATGTTTACTTCTCATCTTAAACCAATGGATCGTATAAACAAAATGGATTACAGCACATATTTCAAACAAAGTTCATAGATTGCAATTTTAGACTTCAAATAGCAGATTTACCAGGACCATTCAATTTTCAATAAGTAATTTTCCGAAAAATCTTAAATACCTGGACAAGCGGTAGTATTCCTCAATTAATCGAAAAAAAACAAATTTTGAAGCAAAGGAGACGCTGCCCTCTGCCGTTCCTCCTCGCCGGCTCTGTCCGTGCACTCCAAGGAAGAAGAAGACGCTGGTGGTGGTGACCGGCGTCTGACGGCGACGGAGACAGAGGAAGCATGAGTGGTCGACGATCAAAGGGAAAAAAAGGTGCGGTGATTTTTGACGTCGATCGGCAAAAACGCTCTTTTTGGTTTAGATAGAGATCGGCTGGGAGAAAAGAAAAAAAAGCAGAATTAGGGTTCCATGGTGCTGATAACTTGTTGTGAACTGAGTACTTTATTCATCATATTTCGGGGTATTTATACATACACAAGGAGGAGATAAAATCTAGGTAAAACAAGGTAACCAAATATTCTAAATAATAAGAATAATATATCTGCCATATTTAACAAATCATTAATTTTAAATTTCACCAATTAATTGTTAACTATCGTGACGAAGTCAAACTCCTACGTTTTTTTAGAGATAGGGGGAGTATATAGTATATACTCCGTATAACTAAACGTTGAATAAATCTAAAGTAAGCCAAACCTTTTAAGTTACTATGATCTTATTTTTTGCACAAAAATGCATCGACAATAACGAGACACCAATACTTATTACCCCCTCCGTCCCTCAAAAATTTCTAGAGTTTGATTTTTTTGGGTCAAATTGGGTCAGCTTTTGACCAAGAATTAAGTTTAATTTAAAATTATTTCAAAACTATATTTTAGAATAAACTCAATTCTACTAAACTTAACTAAATACGGAGTATAATTCTTCTATAATTTGCGATCAAAGCTGCCATTGTTTGACAAAAAAATCAAACTGTCTTAATCAAGGAAAGAAATGAGTATTTGCAAGTGCTTGCAAAAAATGAGATCATGGTAATACACTAATACTAAACTCACCAGCATAACATGGTTTGGGTAAGACTCTGCGACTGCTTTATGAACACTGGCCCATTGGTATGTACCCACTATTTATTTCTTACGGCGTTTAGTCACGACGATTACCTATGGTTTTGGTTTCTCTTTCTTTTTGAAAGTTTCCCATAGGGGTATAGGTTACTCTAAGTTATTCTGGGACAAAGTTAACCGATCATAAATGTGGAGTGCACACCATTAAATAGACTCGTTATTGGTGAGCTAAAATCTAGAAGAGAATCATACTTGTTTTTGTGAGCATGTACTCGTCACTCATCCCCAGCCACCTATGAGTAAGATGCAAATATTCATGCATGACATTCGGTGTGAGACAAGGGTTTATTGTTAGTTCCAAAATGTTAACTAATCTTTTGACAAAATTAAATCTCATATTTATTAGGAGTTTTACTATGTGGAAACTACTATTTGGTAAAAGAGGTTTATTTTATTTAGAGTTCTAGAGTTGCTGTAATTTTAAGGGTGACATAGAAAATGCTACAACACAATGCTACAACACACTATCCGGGGACCGGGATCAGAGGTTTGTGCACGAAAATTTAAGGTGCAATCTGTAATTTTTGAAATTATAGTCCTATTGGGAGTTTAAAATACTTGTTAAGGAATCTAAAGGCTTTAGGCTACTTGCGGATCAAGATTAAAGAAGTTGTATTGAAGGCAACTTCTACTAACCTATTTCTACTAGGATTGGGTTTGGGTAGACTTATAAAAACACCATAGATTCCTTGGATTTCTTGGAGCGATTGTGTGGGAAAATATGCAGAATCTACACTGATATAGAGCATTCCCATCGCATCGCGGAGCCATCCTTGTGCAAAGATATTTACGATCCACATGAAGAAGGAGATCTTCAGTGACAATCAGATCGTAACGTACAGAATTTGAAGGTGAGCTGAATCGTCGCTTGCCAACCATGCTTGTCCTTGTGATCTTCATGGAGATGTGATAGCCGAAGCGGATCCGTACATGGTACGAGTTAAAATTATCCTAGATTAGAAATTTCGTCATACCGATGTGAAGAAATGTGTCCCATCATGTTGTTTTCTATCAGTGTAACTTACATCTAGTGATTTAATGGAGGGCTATTACACGGACGTGGGTCTCGCAGATTAGGAGAGTTTCTCCAAACTGCGTAAACATATCTCGTGTCATTCTTTTCCTTTTATAGTTACAACATTTTATCCAGTAGATTCTGTAACACCCCTGCCTTATGTGCTTCTAAGTCGGTGTGCATGTGATAGAGAAGATGTTATATCACTCCGTCCATCAACTCTATCTGATCGATTTGTTTGCATAGACTTTATTTGGTAATTTCCGTTGCCCGCACGAATTATCAATTGGTATCAAAGCGGTTGAGCTTAAGTTGTAAGCTTGATCTTTGGGCTATTCGTTGCAAACAATTATGATGATCTCAAAGAGAGTTAGAGCACTTTTTGAAGCAAGATGTAGTTATGATGCTTTTCTTGAGGGGGGGGGGAACTAAATTGCAAAAAGGGATGAAGCTCCAATAGAAAATTTAAATGGGAAGCACGTGTATGGATATAAATGGTAGAATTTTTTATTTTTTTGTTTGTAATTATTGTATGCTCTTAAAAAAGTTGGTATTACTTTTCTTTTTTTACCTTAGTTAAATTTGGCATATTTTGTATCAAAAAGGGAGAGAAAAGGATGCGTGAACCTTTTATGCGAGTGTGGCATGATGTGTTTTGCCAAAAATTTGTCAAAGGGGGAGACATTCATCATGGGACAATTGATGCATTTTGGGTGTATCTCCGATGCAAAACTTGGTAAAGTTTTATTAGAGGCGCGTTGTATGATTTCACACCCTCTTCCACCAACAAGTTCCTCGGTCTGAAGAATGTACAACAACCGAACTCTCTTGATGAGTCATTGATGTGGAAGGACCTCACTAATGATATGAAATCTAGTGTGTCCTCAAAGAGCAAGGAACCCTCTTGCATCCTAAAATCTTCATTTTTTTCCTTCTGAGAATTTTAGCAAATCATTGGCTTCCCATAACACATGTCAATATTGTGACCAAAAATCTTGGCTTCTTTTTATACAAGGTCAAGCAGTCTCTTCTTATGGACCTGGGTAAATTAATCTTTGAGCAGCTTAGTGATTTTGAGAAGAAGAATTTCAAGATAAATGACAATGGGTTCTCTTTCCAACAGGGTGATCCTATTTCCCCTTATCTTTTTATTCTTGGTGTGGAGGGTCCTTCCAGACTTATCCAAGAAAAAGTTGATTTAGGTCTCATTTCGGGGTGTCGTGTTATTCGGGGTGCACCGTCTATTGGTCACCTCTTCTTTTCAAATGATAGTCTTTTCTTTTTCAAAGCTCTTGTAAGTGAGGCTAATCATATTCGAGAGGCTTTAGATGTCTATGCACCTACCTCTAGAGAACTTATTAATTTTAATAAGTCCATCGTGTGTTTCAGCCCATGCACAATAACTTTGGACCTCAATCACATTTGTGCATGCCTTCGTGCTCAGGATGCTCTATATTTGGGAAGATATATAAATTTGTTGTCACCCTTGGTCATAACAAGAGGGAGGCTCTTAAGTGTATCAAAGATAAAACTTGGAAGTGTATTTCTTCATGAAAGCATAAATTTCTTTCCGAAGGACGTAAAGAGATTCTCTTAAAATCAGTTTTGTAGGCTATACCATCTTATGCAATGTCTCTTTAATTTGTTTGCTGCCAAAAACCTTCCATCCAAAGCTTGAAAGGATGATGACAAGCTTTTGGTGGAGAAAAAGCACACATGTATCTAATGAGATTCGCTGGTTGAGTTGGGAGCGGATGAGTCGTCATAAATTTTCAGGGGATCTAAACTTTAAGTGAGTACAAGAGTTTAATCTTACTATGCTTGAAAAAATGGCGAGGAAGTTAGTCCGTTGTCCAGACCTCCTTGTTTCTCGAGTCTTTGTTAAAATATAAATAATATTTCTTGGGCCACAACCAAAAGCTTGAGCTTTTGGTTGATGGGTTCCTTGAAATGGTATCGGAGCATTGTTGATTAATAGGTCACAAGTTCGAAACTCAACGCCACCCAGGTTTTAAAAAAAATTTAAGGTTTCACGTGCAAGGATCTTTCCATCATCTCCGATGGAGCCAAAATTTCACCATTTTTTGGCTTTGGGGTGTGATGAAATAAATCAAAATGGATCTCTAAACTGTCTGCGCTTCTTTAATTAATGAAGTAGCAGTTAGTCAAGCAATGCAACTTTCAACGTTGAGCCGGGGGTCTCTTTGGAAACAGCCTCTCTACTTTCGAGTAGGGGCAAGGTCTGCGTACACAAACCCTCCCCAGACCATACTCTTGTGGGATTTAACTGGGTTGTTGTTGTTGTTGTTTCACGTGCAAGGATCGAAAAAGATTACGCGTGCACATGAGGGAGTGTGTTAGAATATAAACAACCTTTCCAAGATAACATTTTAAAGCGAGTATTACATCTAACTCTGGTTATATATGATTGAGCATAATTGAAACTCAATCTATGGTTCGAGGTGGGTCAGGGTGGAAGGTGGTTGTAGGCACGGGTGTCTGTATTTGGGGCGACCCATGGCTGGGAGATAAAGATTACCCTTGGGTGGCATCACCCAACCCAAGGAGAGGTGACATCTGCATGGTTTCTAATATCCTTACTCACGGTACTTGGGATTGACAAAGGATTGATGGAGTTTTTGTGCAGCATAACCGTGACCTAATCCAAGCTATTCCTTTATCTTCGTTGGGAGTGGAAGATATCTTGATTTGGGCTAATGATTAGACTGGTAGGCATTCAGTTAAGAGTACTTATAAGACACTTACTTAGATGTTAATGTGAATGACACCAATGCCACTCGATAGGTGTGAAAGAAATTTTGGGCAGTCCGAACCATGTCTAATATTCAGAAATTGGTCGGGAGAGTGTTGATTAATATCATCCCTTATTTGAGTAATTTAGAAACAAAGCAAATTCTAATGCATGATGTGTGCCCTTTTTGCCATGCTTCGGAGAAGACCGTGTTGCATGTGTTTGTTAGATGTCCTTTTGTCAAGCAGCTTTGGGGTGCGTCGAAGCTAGGCTGGTTTGCACCATTAGTCGACAGCTTGTTAGATTCGTTGCGGGACCCATCATTAGCCTTACATATCATTCGGGCTATTTGAAGTGCACGCGATGCAATTGTTTGAAGGGAAGAACATTCGTCACCGCTAAATACGTGGACGAAGGCAAGGTTTAATTTTGCA